CCTGCAGCCCTCCAGACATGACACACGTATGTGCCACACGCAAAGGACAAGGCACTTACACTGATCCGCACCAGGGCGTCCATGATGGAGGTGAAAGCCTGCAGGTCGTCTCCCTGTGCCATGCTGATCCCGGCTGCCCCTCTCCTGGAGGACGCACAACGTTGCAAAGGATGCTCCAGCTGAGGAAGTGAGGGGGGGGGAGGGGGGATGCAGGGAGCATGAGCAGTGAAGAGGAGGAGGATGAGGATGAGGGGACCGCGCTGATCTGTCTGCGATTTCCAGGAACTGCCCCAATTACCGCTGCCTGGGAATTCCATCGTCTCCTCCATTGAATAAAGTCCTACATACAGATTCCTCTAAACCTGACTAGTCTGTGTGCTCAGTACTACTTCTCCTGTATGCCGGGTGTCATTCTCTGTATCTGTTCTTATTCTGTATGTATGGACTCTGCACAGTACCACTTCTCTTGTCCTGTATGTCGGGTGTCATTCTCGGTACTTTGATGGATCCAAAAATATAGAGGTGGAATTTATCAAAACTGGAGCAGACAGAATCTGGAGCCTTGCTTGTGGCAACCAATCAGCTTCTCTCTTCAGTTTTAGATTGTAAGCCCTCAGGGGCAGGGCCCCCCTTACCATCTTGTCTTGAATTGTATTGTGATGTCTTCCTTATATTGTACAGCGCTGCACACACTGTTGGTGCTATATACATCCTGTATAATAATAATAATAATAAGTTTGTTCAGTTAGGATTTGAAAATGAAAGATAGAAGCTGATTGGTTGCCAGGCAAAGCTGGTTCTGCTCCAGTTTTGATAAATTCACCTGAGAGTGTTTGCAACAGAGGAGCTTACATTCTAATACCCCCAGCACAATCACGACAGTATACCAGAAAGCAACAGAAGGGGTATATTAGAGGGACAGAGGGGGGATTGGGGTATAATAGAGAGGCAGAGGGGGAATTGGGGTATAATAGAGGGGCAGAGGGGGGATTGGGGTATAAGAGAGGGACAGAGGGGGGATCGGGGTATAATAGAGGGACAGAGGGGGGGATTGGGGTATTATAGAGGAAGGAATTGGGGGATAATAGAGGGACAGAGGGGGGGATTGGGGTATTATAGAGGAAGGAATTGGGGGATAATAGAGGGACAGAGGGGGGGATTGGGGTATTATAGAGGAAGGAATTGGGGGATAATAGAGGGACAGAGGGGGGGATTGGGGTATTATAGAGGAAGGAATTGGGGGATAATAGAGGGACAGAGGGGGGGATTGGGGTATTATAGAGGAAGGAATTGGGGGATAATAGAGGGACAGAGGGGGGGATTGGGGTATTATAGAGGAAGGAATTGGGGGATAATAGAGGGACAGAGGGGGGGATTGGGGTATTATAGAGGAAGGAATTGGGGGATAATAGAGGGACAGAGGGGGGGATTGGGGTATTATAGAGGAAGGAATTGGGGGATAATAGAGGGACAGAGGGGGGGATTGGGGTATTATAGAGGAAGGAATTGGGGGATAATAGAGGGACAGAGGGGGGGATTGGGGTATTATAGAGGAAGGAATTGGGGGATAATAGAGGGACAGAGGGGGGGATTGGGGTATTATAGAGGAAGGAATTGGGGGATAATAGAGGGACAGAGGGGGGGATTGGGGTATTATAGAGGAAGGAATTGGGGGATAATAGAGGGACAGAGGGGGGGATTGGGGTATTATAGAGGAAGGAATTGGGGGATAATAGAGGGACAGAGGGGGGGATTGGGGTATTATAGAGGAAGGAATTGGGGGATAATAGAGGGACAGAGGGGGGGATTGGGGTATTATAGAGGAAGGAATTGGGGGATAATAGAGGGACAGAGGGGGGGATTGGGGTATTATAGAGGAAGGAATTGGGGGATAATAGAGGGACAGAGGGGGGGATTGGGGTATTATAGAGGAAGGAATTGGGGGATAATAGAGGGACAGAGGGGGGGATTGGGGTATTATAGAGGAAGGAATTGGGGGATAATAGAGGGACAGAGGGGGGGATTGGGGTATTATAGAGGAAGGAATTGGGGGATAATAGAGGGACAGAGGGGGGGATTGGGGTATTATAGAGGAAGGAATTGGGGGATAATAGAGGGACAGAGGGGGGGATTGGGGTATTATAGAGGAAGGAATTGGGGGATAATAGAGGGACAGAGGGGGGGATTGGGGTATTATAGAGGAAGGAATTGGGGGATAATAGAGGGACAGAGGGGGGGATTGGGGTATTATAGAGGAAGGAATTGGGGGATAATAGAGGGACAGAGGGGGGGATTGGGGTATTATAGAGGAAGGAATTGGGGGATAATAGAGGGACAGAGGGGGGGATTGGGGTATTATAGAGGAAGGAATTGGGGGATAATAGAGGGACAGAGGGGGGGATTGGGGTATTATAGAGGAAGGAATTGGGGGATAATAGAGGGACAGAGGGGGGGATTGGGGTATTATAGAGGAAGGAATTGGGGGATAATAGAGGGACAGAGGGGGGGATTGGGGTATTATAGAGGAAGGAATTGGGGGATAATAGAGGGACAGAGGGGGGGATTGGGGTATTATAGAGGAAGGAATTGGGGGATAATAGAGGGACAGAGGGGGGGATTGGGGTATTATAGAGGAAGGAATTGGGGGATAATAGAGGGACAGAGGGGGGGATTGGGGTATTATAGAGGAAGGAATTGGGGGATAATAGAGGGACAGAGGGGGGGATTGGGGTATTATAGAGGAAGGAATTGGGGGATAATAGAGGGACAGAGGGGGGGATTGGGGTATTATAGAGGAAGGAATTGGGGGATAATAGAGGGACAGAGGGGGGGATTGGGGTATTATAGAGGAAGGAATTGGGGGATAATAGAGGGACAGAGGGGGGGATTGGGGTATTATAGAGGAAGGAATTGGGGGATAATAGAGGGACAGAGGGGGGGATTGGGGTATTATAGAGGAAGGAATTGGGGGATAATAGAGGGACAGAGGGGGGGATTGGGGTATTATAGAGGAAGGAATTGGGGGATAATAGAGGGACAGAGGGGGGGATTGGGGTATTATAGAGGAAGGAATTGGGGGATAATAGAGGGACAGAGGGGGGGATTGGGGTATTATAGAGGAAGGAATTGGGGGATAATAGAGGGACAGAGGGGGGGATTGGGGTATTATAGAGGAAGGAATTGGGGGATAATAGAGGGACAGAGGGGGGGATTGGGGTATTATAGAGGAAGGAATTGGGGGATAATAGAGGGACAGAGGGGGGGATTGGGGTATTATAGAGGAAGGAATTGGGGGATAATAGAGGGACAGAGGGGGGGATTGGGGTATTATAGAGGAAGGAATTGGGGGATAATAGAGGGACAGAGGGGGGGATTGGGGTATTATAGAGGAAGGAATTGGGGGATAATAGAGGGACAGAGGGGGGGATTGGGGTATTATAGAGGAAGGAATTGGGGGATAATAGAGGGACAGAGGGGGGGATTGGGGTATTATAGAGGAAGGAATTGGGGGATAATAGAGGGACAGAGGGGGGGATTGGGGTATTATAGAGGAAGGAATTGGGGGATAATAGAGGGACAGAGGGGGGGATTGGGGTATTATAGAGGAAGGAATTGGGGGATAATAGAGGGACAGAGGGGGGGATTGGGGTATTATAGAGGAAGGAATTGGGGGATAATAGAGGGACAGAGGGGGGGATTGGGGTATTATAGAGGAAGGAATTGGGGGATAATAGAGGGACAGAGGGGGGGATTGGGGTATTATAGAGGAAGGAATTGGGGGATAATAGAGGGACAGAGGGGGGGATTGGGGTATTATAGAGGAAGGAATTGGGGGATAATAGAGGGACAGAGGGGGGGATTGGGGTATTATAGAGGAAGGAATTGGGGGATAATAGAGGGACAGAGGGGGGGATTGGGGTATTATAGAGGAAGGAATTGGGGGATAATAGAGGGACAGAGGGGGGGATTGGGGTATTATAGAGGAAGGAATTGGGGGATAATAGAGGGACAGAGGGGGGGATTGGGGTATTATAGAGGAAGGAATTGGGGGATAATAGAGGGACAGAGGGGGGGATTGGGGTATTATAGAGGAAGGAATTGGGGGATAATAGAGGGACAGAGGGGGGGATTGGGGTATTATAGAGGAAGGAATTGGGGGATAATAGAGGGACAGAGGGGGGGATTGGGGTATTATAGAGGAAGGAATTGGGGGATAATAGAGGGACAGAGGGGGGGATTGGGGTATTATAGAGGAAGGAATTGGGGGATAATAGAGGGACAGAGGGGGGGATTGGGGTATTATAGAGGAAGGAATTGGGGGATAATAGAGGGACAGAGGGGGGGATTGGGGTATTATAGAGGAAGGAATTGGGGGATAATAGAGGGACAGAGGGGGGGATTGGGGTATTATAGAGGAAGGAATTGGGGGATAATAGAGGGACAGAGGGGGGGATTGGGGTATTATAGAGGAAGGAATTGGGGGATAATAGAGGGACAGAGGGGGGGATTGGGGTATTATAGAGGAAGGAATTGGGGGATAATAGAGGGACAGAGGGGGGATTGGGGTATAATAGAGGGACGGAGGGGGGATTGGGGTTTAATATAGGGACAGAGAGGGAGGATTTGGGTATAACAGAGGGATAGAAGGGGAGATTGGGGATAAAATGAAGCGTTCCATATAATCCATATAATGATGGAGTTGTGCGGAGAGCAGTGCAGAACTGACCTCCCATCATTAGGTGTCGCTGTTCCTTCTATTGTATGTGGAGGTTCTCCGTTGTGTAGTAGGCGGGGCTCTCGTAGTGTAGTAGGCGGTCCTGTGTGTCTCCCGGTTGGCGGTCTCGGTGGTGTTGGCGGATCTGGTCGGTGTGGATCGGAGGCAGAAGTGATGGGTGAGATTCGGTTGGGTCGTTGGTGGGGTGTTTTTGTCGGTATATTATTTCGGTTGTGGTGGTGGGAGGTGCTCTCAGTCTACATGTGGAGTAGGTGGATAGCGATGACGTGTCCCTCTGTGACATGGAGTTCCACACACACAGACCTCATACAGATCATCTTCCTGAATGAACGATTCTCCTTCTCTGTATGAGATTCATCGTATTATACAATGATATATATCTCTCTGCTGATCAGTCATTAGAT